CACAACCAATCACCATACCAACTTTGAAGTTCCTAGGCCTAAAAGTTCTTTAGTTATTGATCGGAAACCGTTTTTGCTTACAAGGTCAATGTGACCTTGACCTTTGACCCCTTGACCCCAAAATCAATAGGGGTCATCTACTGATCATGACCAATCACCATACCAAGTTTGATGTTCCTAGGCCTTAAAGTTCTTTAGTTATTGATCCGAAACCGTTTTTCCTTACAAGGTCAATGTGACCTTGACCTTTGACCCCTTGACCCCAAAATCAATAGGGGTCATCTACTGATCATGACCAATCACCATACAAAGTTTGAAGTTCCTAGGCCTAAAGGTTCTTTAGTTATTGATCGGAAACCGTTTTTGCTTACAAGGTAAATGTGACCTTGACCTTTGACCTCTTGACCCCAAAATCAATAGGGGTCATCTACTGATCATGACCAATCACCATACCAAGTTTGAAGTTCCTAGGCCTTAAGGTTCTTTAGTTATTGATCGGAAACCGTTTTTCCTTACAAGGTCAATGTGACCTTGACCTTTGACCCCTTGACCCCAAAATCAATAGGGGTCATCTACTGATCATGACCAATCACCATACCAAGTTTGAAGTTCCTAGGCCTTAAGGTTCTTTAGTTATTAATCGGAAACCGTTTTTGCTTACAAGGTCAATGTGACCTTGACCTTTGACCCCTTGACCCCAAAATCAATAGGGGTCATCTACTGATCATGACCAATCACCATACCAAGTTTGATGTTCCTAGGCCTTAAAGTTCTTTAGTTATTGATCGGAAACCGTTTTTCCTTACAAGGTCAATGTGACCTTGACCTTTGACCCCTTGACCCCAAATCAATAGGGGTCATCTACTGATCATGACCAATCACCATACCAAGTTTGAAGTTCCTAGGCCTTAAGGTTCTTTAGTTATTAATCGGAAACCGTTTTTGCTTACAAGGTCAATATGATCTTGGCCTTTGACCCCAAAAACAATTGGGGTCATCTACTTGTCTAGACCAATCTTCATACCAAGTTTGAAGTTCCTAGGCCTAAGCGTTCTTTAGTTATCACTCGGAAACCATTTGGTCTACGGACCGACGGACCGACGGACCGACAGACCGACGGACCGACAAGTGCAAAGCAATATACCCCCTTTTCTTCGAAATGGGGGCATAATAATATAATATTTGATACTAGAATTTTGTAGATTAACCATATTTCTACAAAATTTACGTTACATGTCCTTTTTTTCGCCCTTAAAGACACTTGATTTCAGTTGATAGTAATAATGATATATGTGTAAATTTTATTATTTCACATAAAGAAGCAATACTTTAAACTTGAAATGCTATTTTACTTTAAGAAATTACTTGACAGAACGGGTAAAAGAACATTTCACAAACAGTATACTTCCATTGCTTTACAATCTTATTCATTTGCAGATTCCTTTGGAAGTGCAATGACAGGATTTGCACATGTATTCCTGTTTACAGTACTCCAAATTGGTAAGACAGCAGTATATGTAAAGCAGATTAAAATTAAAACATTTAGGAACATAATCGTTTTAGGCCTCTGAGAGACGGCATATAGAAATTGAATTGTCCGCCGATCTTCCTTCTGTCCCTCCGTCCGGTAATCTTGTTTATTCTTAACTCCAAAACCGCTGTGGATTTCAGCGAAACTTCAAAAAATGGTTTGTAACCATGTCTAGATGCGCATAGTATCTTTTTTCCACTTTTCATTGTATAATGATCTCCTTCATTCCAGATTCTACTATCAACAAAGAGACTGAAATTTTCATGTCATTTCTTGTTATTAATGCTTCCGAAGATCACTCTTTTCCAAATTCTTATGCTCCACAGCAGCAGGTCCCGCAGCTGTAAAAGGCTGCCCTTTTCTTCACTTCAGTGTTGTAATATTTGTCTGGTCCTTTCGGAATCGTTGATCATAGTGATTTAAATCTTGAAAATTGAGTATTGCTTGTACCGCCAAGCCGGAGCTAGGGGTTGTGAGGTATGTTGCATTTTGGAATGTTATCTTATGTACAGACTCAATCAAATCCAGTCTGCAATTTTCATTTTATTTTGTTGATAAATGCTTCCGAGAGATCACTTTTTCTAGATTCATAACAGTAGATGTCAAGTTAGTTTTTGCAGCTGTAAAAAGATGCTCCGTATTTCACTTCAGTGTTGTCATAGTTTCTGGTCCTTTAGGACTTTTTATTGTGTGGTATTAAAACTCATTTAATTGGTGCTTGGGAACATGATTAGTTAAAATTGTGTTACTTGAGTTCGATTGTTTTGAAAGCTATATGCTTATTTATCCATCATTATTTTCTCATGAACCAACCAAAATAAACCGAGTCTGCATTTTGTCTTTCAAAATTTATTTGCTTAGCTCCTAATTAACCTTCGCTTTTACATATTTTTTAATATCTTATAATTTCACTAATTAACATTTATAAATACATGTGAACTCTGTGGTATTTGAGCCAATCAAAGAGACAGCCTTGCCTAAATTTAACAAATTAAATGTTTTAACGTTGCCGTGGTATACAACTTGTGAACATTGTGAATAGACCTGATTTAAAAAAGAAACGTGGTTTAAGGAAACGGCGGATAAATTAAATAGTACAATCACCCATATCGTACATTTACAAGCAAAATGCCACACGTCGTCATATATATAATATCTAATTCTTTTAAAAAGGGGTTTGAATACAGAGACGTGTGGAGATTTACTATAAATTCAAACTATATATTTTTAAATAACAATGCATTAAATAATTTCATGAAATTAAGTGAAAACAGAAGTAAAGTAGGAAGATAGTATTGCTAAGAATGATTTAAAACTACATGTAAAACTACAAGTACGATATCTGTCAGGCGCCGGCGTGTTCTCGAATCTACTACTACCACCACCACCACCACCACCACCACCACCACCACTACTACTACTACTACTACTACTACTACTACTACTACTACTACTACTACTACTACTACTACTTCTACTACTACTACTTTACTACTACTACAATGATAACAACAATTATAATAATAATAAGAAGAAAAATTTCCTCATCTAGGATTCGAACCAGGGATTTCTTCACCCAAAAAGCGAACACTCTACCTTGACGCCCTAACACTGCTAAAAATAAATAGATAATTATGACTTATGGTTTAGGTTATAAAAATAGACGCGATATAGTATATTTTTATGTAGGAATTATCGACACACCTTTATGTCAATACTGATTAACACAGATAATGAAAGAAATAGCGAATTCGAGCTATAACAAGTAGCATACAAAAATTTATTTAAAAATTCATATTTGAATGAACAAGAACTTTACCCAGAATACTTTCAAACTTAAAAAATGTAGATGTGTATGTTTCAACAATTCACAAAAAATGAAAATAGTGAATACGAGCTATAACATATATGAAACGAAATGTATATTTATAAACTTCATGCTTGAATGAACAAAGACGCTACCTTGCTTTTGTTGGTGCATATGAAGTGGACAAATGGAAGATCACGGACAACTAGTAATTTAAGAGGTATATGATATTGAAGGTTTTACAGTTATAAATTAATTTAATGTTTTCGTGTTCAATCATATCAATTAAATCAAAAAAGTTAAAATACTACACTTGCATTTAATTTCTTACTAATTGTTTAAACTCTTCAACATTGTCATTTAAAAAACAAAACAAATTAAAACGTCTTATTCTATGTCAAGTTTTAAAAACATGAACGAACTATAAATGCGACTAAAACTCGTTGTTCACTAATATAGACAACTAGTTAATGTGATGAAATGGATATTAAGACACAAAACATCTGTCTCATATTGTATAATGATTGAAATAGTTGTTTTGTTCTTTCAATGGTACTTTGAAGGTTATTCAAGCAAACTACTTTTGAAAAGTTTTAAAGTAGGCAAGGTAACTTCCTTGTTCTTTCAAGCATGGAGTGTATATCAATAGTTTGTATTCTTCTTGTGTACACACTTAAATTCATTGTGAATAATGTAAAGACACTTTAGATTTAGATTATACCTGTTATATGTTTTATAAGCTTGAATGTTTTAGTGTTTTTCAAAAATGCTTATTATAAGAGATGGTCACATTCTTTTGAAAAGCGACCTGTTTATTATAACTATAAAGCTGAAAGTTAATACAAAAGTGGTGTAGAATTATAGCAAGCTGTAATATTTTAATAATTTATGAATTCGTTTAATTATGGGTATCAAATATACCAAACAATGATTCATCGTTAATATCTTTTATCACGAGCACAGAAAATATTCAATAATAAATGCAGACAAATTAGGTCTAAATTGAATTTCATGCTTAAAATTTTAACGTATTTCTACTGTATTTTCTATGTCATGTTTAATAAGTGTGTAAATATACGTAAAACATTTATGACGTGCACAATGTTCCGTTATCAAGTGGTGTTGAAATAATAACCATATTTATTTCAGTGTAAATGATGACAGAATGATAAGAATAACATCATCAGTTTTTCTCGTGTTGATATGTCAGTTTGGTAAGTCGCATTAAAATGTTTACACTAACTACATTCAAGATTATATATTTTTACCGTACCAATTAAACCAACAATCAAGGTTCAATCAACATTTTAACATTTTCTTAGTCACACCTATATACAAAGTGTCATATTTTTCAGATAGTAGAACATAATTTGGAAAAAATTCTATTTAATTTCAGATAATATTTCTAATATAGGATGAAATATTGCGCATTAAAAATGATTCTATGGTCATATATATTGTCATATGTTTTTCAATGAAATGCTTTCAATACCATGCATAAAGTGTATATTGCATTATGTAAATTCTTTCTGATGATACAAACCCTTTTATAAAAGATAACTTAATGTGTTTTCCAGGAGTATCGATGCAGACATGTCCAGAATGTGCGTGCTGTGACGGTGGGCAGTATTGCTGTGATTCTAATAAAGACTGTTTACTCGGATGTCAAGCAGGTGCACGGAGCAGTGTCTGGGAAATTGTAAAACTTGTGCTATTGGTAATCAATGCATAGAATGTAAACCTGGTTATTTTACTGATACATGTAATAATAAATGCGGAAAAGGATGTGTCAACAATACGTGTTCGTCGATTTCAGGAGAATGCACTTGTAGGTCAACACATTTTGTCGAAGGTAAATGTGATAAATGTTCAGATGATAAGTATGGTGATGAATGTAGCATAACATGTCCTAGTTACTGTGGCATCTGCGAAGACACACACTGCTTATGGTGTATAAACACTGTCCGTTATGGAACATTTTGTCGATACAAATGTTCAACAGGATGCAACGAGGGTAAATGTAATAAAGGTGATGGACATTGTATGAGGGGATGCAAACTTGGTTATATAGGGGAAAAGTGTGATTCATGTTCGCCTGGATTATACAGTCATACTTGTGATTTAATTTGTGCAGAGAATTGTTATACGTGTATTTCTAAAACAAATTGCACACAGTGTAAGTCCGGCTTTTACGGTGAAACATGTACAAAAACCTGTCCATCTGGTTGTAATGGAAATTGTTCACTTTCTGATGGCCGATGCATAGTTTGTAAACCAGAATTATTCGGAGAATTCTGTAACAGCACATGCAAAGATGGGACATATGGTGTTAATTGTTCCAAACTATGTCAGGATGTAGACAGTTACTGCCAAGAGTGTCACACAGGTGAAAACGGTATTTATTGCGGCTGTAGGAAGTGTAATGATACTTACTATTCGGTAATACCCGTTGGATATAATTATAACATATGTATACTTTGTCCACATAACTGTAAAGATAAAATATGCAATACAACAGGATCATGTAAAGAAGGATGCGTTCGAGGAAAATGGGGAGATGAGTGCAATACAGATTGCAAAACAAACTGTGTAGAATGCAATCAGAAGGATGGTAAATGTTCGGATGTACTAAGGACACGTTTTCAGAGGACTGTTTACAAAACTGTAGCAAAACCTGCAATACAAATGAAAATGCCCGAACCTGTTCCCAGGATACAGGAACGTGTTTAAATGGATGCAAATCGTTTAAAAACTACGGGAAACAATGTGAGAAGCAATGTAGTATTTCTTGTAACAATCAAAGTTGCGACTGGGAAAAGGGTTATTGTTTAGAAGGATGTGTAATGAACCACTACGGATCGTTCTGCGACAATAAATGTGCTGATACATGCAAATCAAATGACAGCAAGCGGATATGTGATGACGTAAACGGACATTGCACATTTGGATGCACAGACGGATTTCATGGCAACACATGTGACGACACATGCAGCCATCAATGTGTAAATAGTACTTGCAACCAGATAACAGCCGAATGTCTGCATGGTTGTATTGACGGGTATGAAGGACTGAAATGTGACCTGGGTAAATGTAGATATTAAATATTTTTTATCATGCTATCTCTTTATATAAAGATGCTCCATTATTTTGCTCTTGATTTGAAATTGGGAACTGTTTAACTGAAACCTCAATTCTTTTTTAACAATTCTTTTCTGATGGTACCAATTCTGTTCAATTAAATAGATCATCTCCAATATGAAAGCAACTCATTTGAATGTTTTGTTCTTTATAGTTTTAGCTATCAAACGTGCTGAATCAGAAGAAAAGGAAAAGAAACCAATTAATGTTATTGTAGCATCTGCCGGTGCTGGTCTTGCTGTTATAGTCTTGCTAGTTATCCTAGTAATTTGCGTCATAAAACAGAATAAAAGGTATATCCTCTAGTCTGATTGGTTCCAAATATTTTTGTTTCAAAATATATGTTTATTTTTATAACGTTAGTTCATTTTCATCGACAGTTTTAATTTTGTCAAAGCCGAGCTTTTTTAAGCCGTAAGATAAAAGCAAAATTTAACGTTTTGCAAGATATCTAAATCCTTGTTTAACTGTTATATTAAAATAAAATGGTGCTGGACTATTGTCAAATTATTTCAAATTGTTTAAAGAACAAAATACCGCTTTCGGTTTAATGAATATAACTTTCACTATCAGCAATAAACCATAATCATTTTCGGCTTCTTTATTTCAGACAAAAACTATCCGCTCAGTCAAAAATGCAAGGAAAACGATAATGAACTTGATTTGAACGAGATTCTTAAACAAAATGACGAAGAAGAACCAGGTTTGTTTCAATTGTTTTACATTCTGCATTTTTTCTTCCTTTAATTACAAAAACACAACCTGTGGAGAGGCATTTATTGTTTAAAGAATAATTTTTATATTGATAATTTGCTCACTTTTCCTGTATCTGTTTGGTTATATACATGTATAATACTCCATTTAATTTCGTTTATTCCAGGTTATATACGCCAATCCTTTCAAACCCAAACAGGAAGCTAGCGGTGATGCCGGGAAAGAATATGACACTGCAATTGACGGTGAACAAAAATACCTGCTATTGACATTGGCTATACTGCGGTAAAGATAGGAACATCTGTCAATGACAATAACAAAAGTTTTGAGGTCTGTGATGTTGCACATGGTAACCAATGTAACAAGTCGTTAAGTCGGTACAATGATTATGCTTTGGTTAACAAAGGGATGTCGGCTGTAAGGAAAAACGATTGCGTCGAGGAAATATATGATACAACACATGACAATAAAGAGCACAAACAACATTTAGATAGTAATAATGAATACGCTGTTCTCAATTTAAGATCTGATAATATTATAGGAGTTGAAAGAACAAAGGGGTTTTCAGCCGCTGACGGACATGTTTTGTATAACACTGCAGAAGGAAGTAAATTCCAAACTATGCTTCAACCAAACAACGATTACGCCGTATTCAAAAGCAACAATGTTGATAATCATGAAGCTTTCAAGGCGAAAGCAAATACATTATACGACAATAACAGGCGAGAAAAGAAAATGCAACCAGTAAATAACGACTATGAATTTGGTAGTGAAGACTGCGAATAATCATTAATAGATGCAGAATTCAGTTCGATGCATAGCTGCTTTTTCACTTTACTGACATGAATAAAATGTTCAAGCCTATACTAAAGTGCATTGGGTTAAAACGTAGAGATTATTAATTATATAGTTATCAACCAAAAAAAAGGGGAATTACACAATCATCTTGCTATTGAGAGGAAAAAAGTAGTTTGGTAAATTTATATACTTCGGAACAGTCTTCGGAGCATTCAAGAATACATATTTCAATGAGCTTTAAACTATATATAACTAAGTACATTATAACATTACATTTTACTACCGTTTATGGAAACACATATTTACGTGGTGCTTATGTGATGTAACATAGTAGTGCAGCATTATTGTGTTATATTTATTGCCTTGTCGCGAAAATTAACGTCTGAACGAGTATACTTCCGCGGGTTATTGCCATGAAACAATGTCTTTATTTGATATAAGTTTTGTTTTAAATTTCATCATTTATTGTATTGAAAATGGTGTACATAATCAGTTGCACAACAAAAAAAATGAAAATATCAATATTAATTAATTATCCATTTCAGCCATTGCACATGATACTACATTCCGTGAAAATGTTTAAATCAGTGAAACTGCAGCTAATTTTATATCATATAATACTATGTTTTTTCTAATATTTTTATATCGTGAATGAGAGCTATGATTTTTATTCTAATTTTCAGCAATTTTATTAGATTCATTTCATTCAAAAACAAGTAATTTAGATCTTTAAAGGTGAAACGACGATATAATTGGTTGAATGAATAGAACAAGGTGAGGTGGGCGGTGGAGTGTAAATAACAGGATCCGGGATTATATTAAACTTATCGAAAAATACTGACAATATAATCAATAATTAACCGTGTTTTTTACACCATGAACATTCTGTATCTGATATACAGGTACCACAGTTTATAGGACAAGTGCTGTTACATTCATCGCCAATATTATTACCCGTACTAGTATCACATTTACCTTTTGTAAAATAAGCCGATATACATTGACAATCTCCTGATACAACCAAGCATGTATAATTTACATAACCTCTCCCACATGGCAAATTACATTTGCGAGTATACTAATCGGGATTACATTGTGTACATTTGTTACCATTGACACAAGTTTTACAATTTTCTAGACACTCGTCTGTGCATTTATCACCATAATAACCGTCCATACAACCATTTAAACAATTCATGTTGGAATCACAAGAACATGTTTCTTTACGACAAGTACATTCACTGCATGTCTGTATCGATAGTCCTAGAAAATTAATATAAAATTTAGATCAACATGTTTCATTATATATGTATTGGAAGACAGTATTGTTTATAAAGCTATTCTACTTATCCAATGGTAGTACAAAACTACTTATCGTTTGCAACTTTGTTTGCTATATATTTATATCTAAATTAAAGTAAATCTAAGCAAGATAATTCAGACATAATTTTCTATAATTTTATATACAAAATTAAAAATTATTTCATGAGATAGCATCATTAACGTTGCACTTCTATATAAGTCAAGTAAGTCAAATGTAATATAAGTTTAATTCCTACATTGCGTCAGGTACATAAAATAATGCCATTTAAGTGCATTTAATGAATGTACTGTGTGCTTATTCGGGTGCTAAATGGCTTTTACAATTAAGAATTATCTCTATCTCATTCAGATATCACACATGAAGACGGCTCTCCTGTTGTATATGAAGATTTTAATTCACGTGTCGACATTGCTTACAGTCATATTACTACAAATCAGCTGTTATAACCACCAGAAGCTGTATATGTTAACACTAGATTATAATTAACTTCTAGTACAATGATGTTTGTCACAAAAATAGCTTGCAGTAGTTTAGATGGTATACTATTGAACAATACAGATGCTTATCCGCAAATAAAACTAAAGACAATGTTTCAATAGTATTGAATGTGATGGGTGTGACGAAAGATGATTTTTTAATGCTTTACTTATTTAGTTTACCCACTGAACAATAGAGATGCCTTTTTCGCAATAAATTGCTGACATGTTTGTTAAAAAAAACACAAACAACTGATGGGGTGTGATTAAGTAAATAATTCTTAAAAAGATATAAATTTTTGTGTTAAATTATTAACTACACGAACTACATTTCTAATTTATTCTTACAAGAATGTATTCATAATGACACACTATTGGGCAAACGCTAAGATCAAGTTAATTAAAATGTTATATTTGTATAATCTCATATAAAATTGAATAAAATACATACTTTTATAAACAAATCGAAGATTAAGACCCTCTTGATAACCAAAATATGCGGAAGAATACTCGGTCACTTTCATGACAAAGCATTAAATGTAATATAATATTGTTGCATTACTTTTCCTGACTATGTAACATCACATAAACACCACGTAAATATGCGTCCAAAAAGATTGTGGAATTCAATGCTCCTTAGATGAGTGCTCATAAGTGGTAAGCAAACGTAACATATCATGTCAACGTGTTTAACTTACACATACACTTTACTCGTTATTTCGTTGTAGTAGACTAAACTCTAATACCAGATCCATTGTAACGTGCACGTGTAGCAGGAAGGGTGTGGATATATTTAGAATGAACGAACTATATTATATATCAAACATTTATCAAAAACTAAGAAATCCTTGTATAAACAAAATAAAATATTGAAAACGAAATGTGATATTAGTTTTTTGTTACGTAGCATACGCTTGAAGATCAGTTTTGATACATACATACTTAAACAAAATTAAATTTAACAAAATGTTTGATGACCATAACTAAGGTTCTTTTGATATTGTCTGTGTGTTACTTTGAACATATCAGTCTTATTGTGTGTTTGTGTATTTGTACAATTATACCTATGGTGCGTTTATTGCAACCTTTATAAATGTATAACCAATTGCAAACACCTTGATTTACTTATATGTTGTGTTCTTTCGCAATTTACACATTATATAAAGACTTTTACTTCATTAAAGATAGCAAAATTATCAATCATTGATTTATACATGAGTGTTCTGAATTATTAACAATTTAATAATTGATCCTATTACAAATACGTTTTTTGAACAATATACCCATTATTTTCTTCAATGCATATAATGACTTTTCTGACGAGGTACGGATGTTTTTAGAGATTTGGGCGATATTTACCTCTAAAGTGTAAGCATTTTGTAGGTTAATGTAGCCTATAAACAAATTTTATTCGTGTTAGTAAAGTGATCAAAATAACTTTTCATCGTACTGCATACTGTATTTGTCAATGATTAGTCGCTGTCTACCCTTTCAAATTCATAGTCATGGTTTACTGGCCGCATTTTCCTTTCTCAAATTGTTGTGTCGTTTCGTGTAATTGCTTTAATAGCTTCATGTTTATCACCATAAATGCGCTTGAATACAGCATAATCATTTCTTGGTCGAGGCATAGTTTTGTGTTTCCCCCCTTTTGCAGTGTCATACAAATCGTGTCCTTCAGCGGCTTCGGCTCTCTTTCTTTTCCGAAATCCTACGACGTTGTCAGATCTTAAACTGGGAACAGCGTATTCATTATTCCTATTTAAATGATGTTTCTTCTTTTTGTTGTCATGCGTTGCGTCATATATTTCCTCCATACCTTCGTTTTTCTTCACAGCCGACTTTCCTTTGTTAACCACAGCATATTCATTTTTGTCACTTCAGACTTCGTTACATTTAATATCGAGTGCAGAATCACAGACTTCAAAACTATTGTTGTTTTCATTGGCAGATGCCCCTATGTTACCCATAGTATAACTATTGTCAAATGCAGGTCTTGTCAAATCTTGCTATCATCGCCATGTGCAGCATCATCACTATCTTGCCGTATAGGCTGCGTACATAACAGCTGAAATAAACGACATTAGAGTATCATGTAGTAAAGCAAAATTTATAAATGTTGCTAACTTGTTTAGATGAATCATTTTACATATGAAGTTTTGTTGTTCTTAGTCTGACTTTAAGTTATGATTTTCTTATAATTTAGATTATGCCAGTGTGTCAGTAATTCCGTTCTAATTTACTTTGTATTGCAAATCATATCAAATCACTTTGCGTATATAAAGAGTTAACCTATGGTTATTTATCCAAAACGCAATTTTAGTTTCGGATAGACGTGTTCATTTTTCCAACAGTTGTTATGTAAACTGATCTCCTTTTAGGAATGAATAGTGAATACTGAGAATCTGATCGAATGGTGACTTAACATACCTGATTCGTCTGCGTCATGTAGTTTATTTCTTTCTTGTATGGCTGTGCATAATCTTTCTCTTCACATTTTCAGGTAGCTAAAAACTTTCGTCTGAAGTATAAAATGAGATGTAAAGTGAAAACCAATATGTTTAAATGCTTGAGCTTTATGTTATAACTTTATTTGTGCTTATAAAAATGTTTTACATACATCATATTATTAATTATTATTAATAACAGCAAATTCTGCTGGTATTTCTTCTCAATACTGGTTTTGTTCAAATTAATTGGCATTCGACATAAAATCATTAATTGAAAATTGAAACTTCTTTTTTGACTTTTCAATAAAAAAATTGTTAACTCTCAAAATGTATTCAGGAACAATAATGTAACAGATATCTTTCAATCAAGTGTAATTTAAGACGTACCTTCTTTGTTGGTTTACAAGGCAAATTACTGGGACGATAACAGCAACACCAGCACCAGAAGATGCTACAATAATTACTTGTAATTTGTTTTTCTTCCGATCCTTCGATAGCTAAAACGAACGATACATTCATGTCACTTCTGAATATATATTATTTTTAGTTTAAGCACACTAAGTTTTAAGTATTGAGAAAACAATAGTCTAAAGCTTAAATATATTAACAAGTGATCCTATGCATGACCCGCATGGTTTTACCGAAGTAAATGTTAAGTGATATAATGCATTTTCAACTTAAGTATTGTTTATCCATCGGTTTGTGGATGAATTGTTTCAATATGAATATTTAACTAAT